CGCTGGTGGTGTGTAGGGCATGGCGAGATCTGATTTCCTATGAGTTTAAGCAGTAGAAAACTGCTTTAAAAAATATATATATATATCTATGTATAATAATGAAAAAGAAGAAAAAAGGTAATATATATATAAGTAAAAAAGAACTGCTTAATATATATATATATATATATATAAAATAATTTAAAAAATTGCTTAAAATATATATAATAATTAAAATTAGAGAAAAAAAATTATAGTTGGATTTCAACCTTATGGACAAGGTTGATGTTAAAGAGGAGGGTAATCTGAGTACAAAAAGATAAAAATAGATTAAGAAGTACAAGATCTGCAGGGGTACACGAAGAGAGCTATGGAAGTGTCTATAGGAAATCCAAACTCGATGGGTCCTTAATCCTCTCAAACCCTTAGTTAACCAACCACTTCCTTTTCCATCTTCATCCAATGAAGCTAGGAATTTCCTTTACACTCTTAGGCTTCCACTAAATATTGACTATTTATTTACTTATTCATGCATCAATTTTTTTTTATATAAATCACATATTTTTATCGATGTAACCAATGTATGAAATATTTGAATATAATATCATTATCTCTCTCAAATTTCTATTTATATATCTCAATATCTATCTTTCCTCTTTGATTTCTTATTTATTCCTCTTGATATTCTTACTCTTATCTTTCTTAAATCCTTCTATTTCTCCTCTCACTCTTCCCCTCTTTATCTCAAACCTGAATACATAGTTTCTTAAAATAGAAGCATGTACCCGTGTCAAGAAGATGTTCTTTAGGGCAATATAGTTTCAGAGAAAACTACTGTAGCATCAGAGAACAGTGATAAAAATTAAACTAAGTTGTGGTATCTGCGCCTAGGTCATATGAGTGACAAGGGATTATCAATATTGAGTAGTCAAAATTTGTTGAATGGCTATAAAGAAAAACTCATGGATTTATGTGAACATTATGTGTTTAGAAATAGACCAAGTTGAAGTTCAACAAATAGGCAATGCACAAAACTAAGGATAAGTTAGATTATATCCATTCTGACTTATAGGGTCTTTATAGAACTCCCTCTAAAAATGGTGTTAGATATTTTATGACTCTCATTAATGATTATTTTAAGGAAGATTCATTTTCAACTTTTTTCAAACAGAAAATCATGATTGAGAAATAGACAAAGAGAAAGATCAAGTGTCTTAGAGTTGATAATTGATTGGAATTTTGTAATCATGAGGTTAACAATTTCTGTAGTACAGAGGGCATAGTGAGACACTGTACTTATATTGGGTCATCACAACATAATGATATTGGATAACACATGAATATAACATTTTTTGATAGAGCATGATGCATGTTGTCTCATTCAGGTCCAGGATAGGAATCTTGGGCAAAATCTATGAACACCACTTGTTTTTTAGTTAATAGATCTTTATCCACAATTATTAATTCCAAAATTCCTTTTGAGATATGGTTTAGTTTACCTACTAATTACTCTGAATTGAGCATGTTTAGTTGTCTTTCTTATACTCATGTTAGGGACGGTAAACCTAAGCCGACGGTAAAAAAATTCATATTTCTAGGGTATGCATCTGGTGTAAAATGTTACAAGTTATGATGTAGTGATTCAAAGTCTCTAAGGTTAATTATCAGTAGAGATATGACATTTAATGAGTCTATTTTACTAGATAATTAGAAAGAGAATGCAATAGTAGAATCAGATTCTGGTGTCAAAGGATGAGACTCTAACAGTTTAGTCCAAAAGAGTATAAGGTGGTATAACTAATCTAAAACAATCTTATAGCATCGTAACAGACATGGGGAGAACACATAATAGAACACCATAAAGGTATGAAAATTTGGTTGCATATACTTATTGGTTGCTGAGACATTTGTTTTATAAGAACCTGGATGTTATAATGAAGTTATTTCTAGTTCTGATGCAGATCAATAGATTAGTGCTATGGGTGAAGAAACTGAGTCACTTCACAAGAATCAGACTTCGGAGCTTGTGTCATTACCAAAAGGATAGAAAATAATCGGCTGTAAATGGGTTTATAAGAATAAGGAAGACATTTTAAAGACAGAAACACCTCGATACAAGGCTCGATTAATAACTAAAGGCTTTACTCTACAAGAAAGGATCGATTTCAATGAAGTGTTATCCCCATTTGTGAAACACAGCTCCATCATAGTCTTACTTGATATGATCTCTCTTCATGATTTAGAGTTGAAGCAATTAGATGTAAAAACTGTCTTTCTACATGATGACTTGGAGGAGCAGATATATATGAATCAACTCGAGGGATTTCTCATTTTAGATATGGAAAAACATGTTTGTCTATTTAAGAAATCTTTAAATGGTTTGAAACAGTCGCCTAGATAATGGTACTAGAGATTTGATACATTCATGAAACATAATGATTTCATTCATAGTGCCTATGACAGTTGTATGTATTATAAGAGATTCTCATATGATCCTACTATTTATCTATTATTGTATGTAGATGACATGCTTATTGATGCTAAAAGTATATCATAAATTAATACTCCGAAAAAGCAATTGGGTGAAGAGTTGAGATAAAAGATTTGGATATTGCAAGGAAGATATTGGGAACTGAGATTACTCGGGATAGAAGTCCCGAATTTTTTTTTTGTCTCAACAATCATATGTTGAGAAGGTACTGCAACGTTTTAATATGAGTAATGCAAAGTCTATAACTATTCCATTTAGTACCCACTTTACGTTATCTGTAAACATGTCATCGAAGACACAAGAAGAAATGGAGCGTATGTATAGTATTCCATACTCAAGTGCTATAAGTAGCATCATGTATGTCATGGTTTGTAATTGTCTTGATATTTTATATGCAGTTAATGTAGTGAGTAGATTCATGGCATATCCTGGGAAACAACATTAGTAGATAGTGAAATGGATTATAAGGTACTTAAATGATACAACATATATGGGTTTGATATTTGACAGAGCCAAGATGAGTGATTCAGTTATAGATCTCTAACAAATGTGTTTGGGGATTTGGATAAGAAAAGATCTCTAACAGGTTACCTATTTACTCTATCTGGAAGTGTTATAAGCTGAAAGACAATGTTGCAAGCCACAATAGCCTTGTCTACCACAAAGGTTGAATAAATGGCTCTAACATAGACAGTAAAAGAGGCTATTTGGCTGCATGGTTTGGTAAATGATCTTGAGTTAACATAGAAAAATCTAACAGTGTTTTATGACAGTCAAAGTACCATACATCTCACAAAAAACTAGATGATGTACCATGAGTGAACAAAGCATGTTGATGTCAATATCACTTCATCTGGGATATTATATCACAGAGTACCATAGTTGTGTAGAAGGTATATATACAGAAAAATCATGTGAATATGATGACCAACGTAATCCCAGTTAGCAAGTTTAGGCACTGCCTAGACTTTGATTAGAGTAGATTCTACTCACTAGTGCCCCTAAACGGGCATTATGACGAGATAGAATGATAAGACAGTCATTTAATTTGATGTTGAAGAGAATTCAAGCTAAGAGTAAGATTTATTGGTATGACTTAAATTTTGATAATATAATATTTGATCATAATAATATTTTTATAATTATGTTAGGGATTATTTTATGTGTCTTCTAAATTAGTTCTTTATAAATTAGTTTACTAGTTTATTAGTGATGTATTTTTTTAAATTATTATATTAAAAAACTTTATTACTGGTCTTGCCTGTAGATATATGTATGTTGCCGAACCACTTTAAATATTGTGTTTTTCCTTTTATTGGGATTGTGCGCGATTTAGAGATTAATTTTTTCAACTAACTATCTATTTAGATGATATAAATATGTTATATTTTATTTTTATTCAAATTCTATACAAATTTAATTTATTTTACAAATTGATGACATGATTGCCATGAGTGATGGTACCTGGAAATTAATTTTATTTAATATGTACATTAATTGAATGACTAATTTAAAGAAAAATAAAAACATTATTGACTTCATTGTAACTATTAAATGCTTAACGACAACGTTGAAGGGGAAAAAGTTTCAGAACCTTTTTTTTTTTTTTTTTTTTGTTTAATAATAATTAAGCCTATTACGTTAGCATTGAATTATCACGTATATAGACTACCAAATTATCAACAGCGTTTACCAGTTTATTGTTAAGCGTTGAATAACTTAAAATTTTGATTTTAATTTTTTTGTTGAAAAACTTAAAATCCATATTGATATATATCAATTAAAAGTCTACATAAAACTATAATTCTTAAATAATTGTTATATACACTAATTAAAGAAAAAAATAATCAAGCCGTATATTTTGATTTAATTAACAGATATCTTTATTTATTTTTTTATATTAAAAAATAATTTTTTACTGTTACTTTATGCAATTTTATCATATATTCATTCTCCTGTTTTTTAAAAAGAAAAAAAAAAATCTCTAAAAATTATATTAAAATAATTGTGTGAATCCATCGTGTGAATATGATGATGGAGATTTGAACACTGAGTCAGCATGGCCCCATCTTCCTCTTTCATTCTCCTTATAAATATCCCTCTCCCCCCTCCTTCCCCAAAATCCCCCTTACTCATGCTTTCTTTCTCCTTCAACTTTTCAAGTTCACCAATTCGATTTTGCTTTCCTCTCTGCTCATTTTAACTTCAATTTGCTTTCTTCCTTTCTCTTCATCTGCTTCCTTTGCTTTGCTTGTAATGGACTGTTGCGAGAAATCTGTTTCTCCACTCAACTGCATCATCTTTGGTATATCCGCAATTCATAAGACCTGACTATTTTGAGATTACGTCTCAATTTTCTTAATTTGCCTAATTTCTTTGTGTTCTGAAAGCAGATTTGGATGACACATTGTATCCTTCCAATACTGGAATAGCTAAGGCTGTAAAGACAAACATCGAAGGTTTAAAATTAAAGAAAAGAAAAACTCAACTCTTAAGTTTTTTACGTTCAGTAAAATGCTATAATTTCCTGATTCTGCTTTCATCTGTTTTTTTTTTCTTCTTTTTGGTGCCTAGATTTTCTTATAGAAAAATTCGGATTCTCTCCGAGCAAAGCTTCAAGTGTCAGAGTTGAGCTTTTCAAAACTTACGGCAGCACCCTTGCTGGCTTGCGAGTAATTAAATATGAAGATATCTTTTTATTTTTCAATTATTTGTTATAAAAAGAAAAATATCTGATTAATGTCTATGCTTGTAATTGCAGGCATTAGGCTATGATATTGATGCCGATGATTATCACGGGTACGGATTTAGCATAAAACACTATGTCTAAATGCTTCAGCATCACATTTTCTTTCTCTTCTCCAGAAGCAGAATTTAAAACTTGAAAATTCCTAATTCTACTAATCTTGTTAATCAGTTCCGTGCACGGAAGATTGCCGTACGATCTAATCAAACCAGACCCTCAACTGACTAACCTCTTGCATCGTATCACCCAGAGAAAAGTTGTAAGCTCAAAATCCACAATCAATCAACTCGTTTTCTTTAAAGAAATAAAAAAAAAAAAAAAAATTGGCGACTAAGTGCGATTTATTTTCCGTTCAGATTTTCACGAATTCGGACAGGAATCACGCGATCGAGGTTCTAAAGAGGTTAGGATTAGAAGACTGTTTCGACCAAATCATTTGTTTCGAAACCATGAACCCAAACTTGTCGAAATCCGCACGCACCGACGAATTCCCTGTCGTTCTGAAGCCGGCGGTAGAAGCCATGAAAATCGCTCTCGACGTTGCAAACGTCGATCCTCGGCGAACGGTAAATGCCTTCTCCAACCTAATGATTTCTAATTGCCGAACGCGATTAGCACTTAAAAAATATTTCTATTTAGCATTTTTTTATTTAATAAAAAAAGTGATTAATTACTTGTAAATCATTGTTGATATTGATTTATTTGCCGGCAGCTGTTTTTGGATGACAACGTTAGAAATATCGCCGCTGGCAAATCCGTGGGGCTTCGTACTGTTCTGGTAATTTCTGAATTTATTTTCTCCTTTTTTTTTTACACAATTCTTGCCCATGATCTTTTTCTCTTTTAAACAAAACTTACAAGGGTGGTTTCCACCGTCGTCCAAAAAAAAAAAAAAAAAGGAAAAATCATTTTTGAGGTGAAGCTAAGAGGCACAGCATTGGTATTATTGGTTGCAGGTTGGAAAATCAATGAAGAGCAAAGAAGCAGATTGCGCAGTGGAGGCAGTGAACAATTTGGCACAGGTGATGCCGGAAATATGGGTCGGCGAAATGGACGGTGATGATCAAAGGATTAACCGTACCAGCAGTGAAATTGAGTGTAGTTTGGCAATCACAACCGTTGGAGCTTAATGGACAAAGACAAAATCAAATAAAGGCGTTATAATGGGGCCCTCCCTCATCTTGTAAATGTCATGTTAATTCTGTACATATTAATGTACATGAAGATGTGCAAACTCTTTCCCAACGGAAATAAAAAAAAAATGTCATTATTGCCAATAAATATGAACATAAAGAAATAATTCTCCCAAATTCTGTATGGATAAGCTCCAACATGATCGCCTTGTCACCTTAGGGTTTGTCAAAGATATGGTGATTTTTTAATTCCGTATTTATTTTTAGTGCTTATAACTTTATATTTTTAAATCACTTCTAATATTTAAAAGTATAAGATAATTTTTTACTTATGTATTTAACTTCAATGCTTAAAAAGATAAGATGAATTTTTTATCTTTAATTTTTTTTAAAAAAATATAATTATATCGTATTCACCTTTAATACTTAAAAAGAGAATGTAAAATTTTCTCATGCATCTATATTCAATACTAAATTGATAAAGCATCATTTATACATGCATTTGACTTCAATTCCTAAAATGGAAAGGACTCACTCAATTCATATATTCACCTAAAAAAAATATAAAAAAGTAAGATAAACTTTTAATCTTGTATTTGCCTTGAATTTCTAGAAAAAAAAAAAAAAGACAATCATCTTTGTATTCACCTTTGATGCCTAAAAAGTTAAGGTGACATTTCCTCATGTACTCATTTTCAATAGCTAAAAAGGTAAGGTATCGTTAATATATGCATTTGTCTTCAATTCTTAAAAAAGAAACATTAATGCATGTATTCACTTTCAATGCCTAAAGTCGCAAGGTGTCTTTTAATTTTACATTTGTCTCTACTTATTCAAAAATAAAAAAAAATAAAGTGTTATTTTCTTATCTATTTGTCTTCAATACCTTAAAAAGTAACGTGTCAATTATATATTTATTTGTTTTTAATTTCTTAAAAAAAAATACATCAACTTATATATTTATCTTTATTGCTTAAAAAGATAAAGTGATACTTCAATTCCACATACGTTTTTAGTTTCTAAAAAAAAAAAAAAAACAATCATCTTGCATTCACTTTCAATGTCTAAAAAGATAAGGTATTTCGTACATCCATTCACTTTTAGTACTTAAAAAAATAACACGATTTTTTAATCTTATATTCATCTTTAATACCTAAAAGGTAAGATCGCATTTTATTTATGTATTTACCTTTACTAATGAAAAAAAAAGAATGTGACTCTTTAATTCTGGATTCACCTCCATTACTTGAAAAAGAGAGGTGACTCTTCAATTTTGCATCTACCTTCAATTTCTAAAAATGAAAGTTTTTATTTTGTAAATATGTTTTTCAATCACTAAAAGAAAGTAAAAAAATAAAAAATAACAAAAATAGAAAACAAAAACGTCAAGGATGATAGGAAACAAAGGATCCTACATTTTGTGGGCAAACTTAGGGTAATTCTAATCTTTAATAGATTTTTTTTAATAAATATTTAAATTAAGCTGGGCAACTGCTATATCCTAATTTTGTCATGAGGTTTTTAATTGGCATTTATTATTATTATATTAATTAAAAATATGTAAAAGAAAAAGCCAAAAAAAATAAAAGAAAAAAAAAATAATAAAATAAATTTACCTAACAAAACTTTCCATAAACATATGCATATGTAATTACAGATATATAAATGAGAACAGATAATATTTCAATTTGATTTAAAATCTAAAGTAGTCCAAGTTAAAAATTTAAAAAAATGTAAGAAAACGAGAGATCCACCCCACTCGCCCTTCCCTTTATTTTCTCTCTTTCTTTCCAGGCCAGGCCTTAAAGACGAAGCCTTCTTTTTCCTCAAATGAACGGGGCTCAAGAAAAGCTCAATATTTATCCCTTCCTCCTCGGGCTGGGCTTGAAAGAAAGCCCAGCCCGACCCACTTCATCCCCAAAATGTTGGATTTTGGTCGCTACGACGTCGTCGTTTTGGGAAGAGCTTAATTTGACCACCACCTCCTTTTTCTTCTTCCTTCGAAACAGATGGTGAAAATGAGGGTTTAACATTTTTTTTTTTTTTTTGGTCTTTTTTTTAATAATAATTTTCTTCTCTTTTGCGGGTGCAGATGGCAGACGCGATGATGATGACGGAACATTGATGATTGATTGATGATTTGGCAAGATGCAATGATGAAACAGGAGCAGTGGAGACAGAAGAAGATAATGACGTGAAGAAAAAGGGAGGAGAAGTGAGCGAACAGAAGTTAGAACGTGGCGGTGAAGATGAAACACAGGTGATTGCGTGACAAGATGCCTGAGCAGCGAGAAAAGAGGATAACACTCGATTTGGGTTAGAGTTGTGATGGCTTCAGCTCCAAATGGAGCTAAAACCAATAGGGCTGCACACGGGGTTTTTGAGGATAGAAGAAAGAAAAAGAGGGAGGCCGAGACGGGTTTTAGAGAGAGAGAAAAAAAAGGGGCTTTTGAGGAGAAAACGGAGGGAAATGAGCACAATTTTGGGTGAGGACTTTATTCTAAAATTCTGTAAAATCATTGTGAGAGTAGCTTTTAAAGTGACCAAAAAAAAAAAAAAGAGACAAAAGAAAAAAAAAAGCAAACAGAAAGAAGTGGAATAAACCTGAGGAACCCGAGAGCAATCCAAAGGGAATTTTGTTCTATAACTCCAATGGGTAAATTCTACCTTTCTCCTTTATTTGTATTTCTTCTCAGTATTCCTTGTATTTCTGAGTTGGGATTAATGTTTGAATTTTTCTGAGCATTTCTTGAATTTTTGAATTGTAATTAATATTTCTTGTGATGCTTTTCGAAGCATGAACATATATTGAGAATGAACAGTTCAAATGGGTTTTTTTTTTTTTCAATCCTCTCCAATCGTTTTCCTCCTTTTGCCATGTTCCTTTTCGTTTCTATTTCTTTTGCATGTGTTCTATTGAGTGATGATGTTAACAGATGGATGCATAATTTTCATAGAAAATTTGGGATGTGTTGGTATTGGGAGAATAGTTTTTCATGTGGGAATTAGAGTATGAATTTGATTAAAGGTTTTGTTAGCCATGGAATAAAAGTTTGGATTGTCAAAGAGGAAAAAGACTTTGTTAAATTAGACAATGCGATTTGATATGTACTAAAAACGAAGTATCAAATTCATCTTTTGGTTGGGATTGAAAAGAAAACAAATTAATCTCAAACACAGATTAATGACAAAATATTTGTTAAAATTAAGTTTGTGCAATCAAACAAAATTTCAAAAGATAATTAGTTGGGTTAAATTTGAAGATAATTTTCCTATAGGTCATCATAATATGTTTTTGAGATGAATTGTTACTATTCTTTATTATTATTATTTTTTTTGGGTGAGAAACATTCCGCTTTTGGAGATTTATTTGGGTAGAAT